GTAATACCTATTAGTTTAGAAATGTCTAGAAAACAATTGAACCAAATCAAATAAATCAAACTGATTAAACAAAACTCCAGATAACCCCCTACCCATAAAGGGTAATGTTTAAGCGAAGGCTATTGCTATAAGAAAACTCGGACACTAGTTATATTTCCACTCAAAATACCACAAACTAACAAATGAAACAGACTCGCATTGGCATCCAATTCTGTTTGAATCATCAGTCAAAATAACATGAAGTGATACCCAAGATACCCAACAAATTAATGGTCTCACACAAGGTAGCATGTCTGTTTCGGATTATTTTAATAAGTTGGATGGTTTATGGAAAGAGTTTGATGGCTTAACAAAGTGTCCAGATTGCACTTGTGAAGCAGCTACTCATACTAAAAATCATTCAAAACTCATGAAACTTATGCAATTTCTCAATGGTCTTGATGATTCATATAACCCAGTTAAAGTCATATTTTAATAATGGAACCTTTACCTGATGTTAAAACTGCTTTTTCAATTGTTTCTAGAGAAGAGTCTAATCAGAAGCATGGAAGTATTTCTGTGTTATCCACTAAAATTCAAAATTCTTCTGCTTTTGCTGGTAAAATTATTGATAACAAGAAATTTAAAGGAAGAAATCAGAATTTAATATGTAAGAATTGTGGGATAAAGGGTCATACTATTGAGAAATGTTATAAGCTTATTGGGTATCCTAAGGATTTTAAACCCAAGTCTGAGTTTAATAAGTCACCAGCTGTGACTGGTACTTCTTCTCATGTTATTGAAAGTACAAATACTAATGCATCAGTTGTTTCTTCTGATAAGTCTGGTCATCATTTTTTAACAAGTGATCAATACTCAAAGTTGATGTCTCTTCTTCATGAAAAAGAATTATCAGAGGGTGTATCTGCTAATGCTAATATGGCAGGTATATCTTGCAATAATGTTTTTTTAAACAAAGTAAAATGGGTTGTTGATTCAGGAGCTAGTCAACATATGACTGCTACTGATTCACAATTTTCAGATGTTGTGGATGTTTCCAAACTGAATCTAAGAGTTGATCATCCTAATGGTTCAACTGCTAAAATAGATAAGATTGGAAACATCATTCTTTCTGATTCAATTAGCTTTTCAGATGTCTTTGTTATACCTGATTTTCATGTTAATCTTTTGTCTGTTCATAAGATATGTAAAGAAAATAAGTGTAGAGTTGTTTTTGATGAAAATAACTGTTATGTTCAGGATTCACTGTCAATGGAGACTGTGATGACTGGTAAAGAATCTGGAGGTCTTTATTATTTGGAAAATCAGTTGTTAGGTAGGTCAAATTCTGTTGTTAATTGTCATAAATGTTTTATATCAAGATTAACATGGCATAATAGGCTGGGACATCCTGCTGATAAAGCTCTAAGTGCTTTAAAATCACTTTTAAATTTTGATAATGAATCAGTTATGCCATGTGAGGTTTGTCACAAGGCTAAACAAACTAGAGAACCTTTTCCTTTAAGTGAGCATAAGTCTTTTTGTCTAGGAGAACTGGTTCATTTAGATGTTTGGGGTCCATATAAAGTTGCTGCTATCGGTGGTTTTAAATTTTTTCTTACTATTGTAGATGATTTCACTAGAGCTACATGGGTTTATTTGATGAAATCTAAAGATGAAGTATTTGGTTGTTTTCATGAGTTTGTTATGATATTGGAAAATCAATTTAATGTTAGTTTAAAAGTTATTAGATCAGATAATGGAACATAATTTGTTAATCAAAAAATGAATAGTTTTCTTAAAACCAAAGGAGTAATTCATCAGACTTCTTGTGTTCACACTCCACAACAAAATGGAGTGGTAGAGCGGAAGCATAGGCATTTATTGAATGTTGCTAGGTCTTTGCTGTTTCAAGCTGGTTTGCCAAATTTTTTTTGGGGAGATTCTATTTTAACTACTGTTTTTTTAATAAATAGAACTCCTTCGTCTGTTTTAAATGGTAAGACTCCGTTTGAATTAGTTTATAATCGTGTTCCAGTTTATGATAAAATTCGCGTGTTTGGTTGTTTAGCTTTTGCAACCAAGTTAAACAATACTGATAAGTTTTCTGAACGTTGTGAGAAGTGTATTCTTATTGGGTATTCTAATGTTAAAAAGGGGTACAAATTATATAGTCTTGATAATGGTTTTTGTTTCTTTTCCAGGGATGTAAAATTTTATGAATCTGTCTTTCCTTTTAAGTTGGCTTCTAAATCAAATGAAGATTCTCAGTTGTTTGAGAAAACTGTTTTTAATAATCATGATCCCTTTTCCAATGATGAGCTATTATTTTCTGAAAATTTTGATAGAATTCAAAATAGTGGTGAATTAGGATTTAATAATCAGGATGGTGATACAGTTGTTGACCAACCATTTGGTGCAACTGATTCTGATGTGGATGGTAGTTCTAGTTTAGATGCAACAACATCTAATCAGGAGGGTACTTATGGTTGTGAAACATCTGGTTCGCAACCAGAGGTTGTTGTTTCCATTCCCACTAATAGTTCTGAGGAAAATGTAGATAATAATGTTGTAACTTCTAATTCTCAGTTGCTAGGTATTAGAAAATCTAATCGTGAGTCTAAATTTCCTCAAAAATTTAATGATTTTGTTGTAGAAGGAAAGTATAAATATGGAATTGAAAAATCTGTTAATTATTCTTTTCTTAGTCAAGATAATAAATGTTTTGCAACACAATTAAATAAATCTGTTGAACCACAATCTTATTATCAAGCATCTTTGGATCCAAATTGGATAATTGCTATGAATGAAGAAATAGAAGCTTTGTACCGAAATAATACTTGGGAAATCTGTGATTTACCTGCTGATAGGAAACCTATTGGCTGTAAATGGGTATATAAGATAAAGTACAAATCTAAGGGTGAAATAGAGAGATTTAAGGCAAGGCTTGTAGCAAAGGGATATAATCAAAGAGAAGGTATAGATTTTGATGAGACTTTTTCACCTGTTGCAAAAATGGTTTCTATTAGAATTGTTATTTCTCTTGCAATTAATTTTGGTTGGAATTTCTTTCAACTAGACATAAATAATGCTTTTCTTTATGGAGAATTGGATGAGGATGTTTATATGACATTACCACTTGGTTACAATAATAAAAATAATAGTAACAAAGTTTGTAAGTTGTTGAAATCATTGTATGGGTTAAAGCAGGCTCCTAGGAAGTGGAATGAAAAATTATGTGGTTTTTTACTTGAATTTGGTTTTGTTCAAAGTGTAAATGATTTCTCATTGTTTATAAAGGCATCAAATGGTAATATAGTTATATTACTTGTGTATGTTGATGACATAATTTTGAGTGTTAATTGTGATGAAGAAATAAATAAAGTAAAAACATTTTTAAAATCTAAATTTTTAATCAAGGATTTGGGAAAATTAAAGTATTTTTTGGGAATTGAAGTAATAGACATTAATGAAGGTGTTTGTTTAAGTTAGAGAAAATATTGTATGGAATTGTTGCATGAATTTGGTATGTTAGGTTGTAAACCTGTGAAAACTCCTCTTGACTGTAATGTTGTAGTTAGAGGAGAAGGAATTGATACAAATGAGACATTGGTACAAAACATTGTTCTTTTTCAAAAGTTGGTTGGAAAACTCATTTATTTGACTATTACTCGTCCATATATTTCATATGTTGTTCACGTTTTGAGTCAGTTTATGCATTCTACAAGAAAATCTCATTTTAATGTTGCTGTAAGATTGCTTAGATATTTGAAGTTAAATCCTGGAAGGGGTTTTTCAATTACAAAGGGAAATTTAAATTTAAAAAGTTTTGTTGATGCTGATTGGGCAAAGTGTTTAGTATCTAGAAGATCAGTTACAGGGTATGTTGTATTTCTTGGAAATACAATTATTTCTTGGAAAAGTAAGAAACAGGAAACTGTTTCTAGATCTTCTACTGAATCAGAATATAGAGCACTTGGTGTTATTTCTTGTGAAACTATGTGGATTTTAAAAATATTGTTTGATGTTGGGTTAAAAGACTTAACTCCTGTTTCAATTTTTTGTGACAACGAGTCAACAATAAAACTTGTACATAACCCAGTTTTTCATGAGAAAACAAAACATTTTGATGTTGATACTCATTTTATAAGAGATAAGGTATCAAAGGAGTAATTGAAGTTCATAAGGTGAGTTCATATTTTAATCTGGCAGACATTTTTACTAAGCCTTTGGGAGTTGCTCAGCATGAATGGATTTGTAAAGGATTGGGTCTTATTGATCCATTTCAGAATAAGTTTTGAACTTATTTGAATTATAAGTTTGAGGAGGGGTGTTGAATTATAAGAGTGAATAATGCAAACTTATAATTATATCCTTTTAAGTATCCTTTGTTTGTTAATAATTATCTATTTTCCTGTATATATTTTTTGCATATATTAAATGTCTGTGCATGAGGATATATCTTGAACATTTGTAAATATATTGGATTGAAGTAGTATATATGTGGAAATGATGTAACACGCGGATCTATTCATGATGACTCGTATAATCTGTATATCATATATATATATATATATATATATATATATATATATATATATTTATATTTGATTATGTATAAGAGTATGAGAGATGTACGAGTCTATCTTCCTCTCTGAGTCTTCTTCTTCACTGTTCATATAGTCTTCATCTATTCAAAGGGTCTGTTTTCTTGTTTCAGTACTCGTTTGATTCATATAGTAATATGAGTGTAGATTAGATGAGTGAATCTGTAGTGAGGTTTTTTTTGTAATGAGAGGAGTGATTTGTAGTGAGGTTTGTTTTGTAAGTATACGTGTAAACCTTCTGGTTCTTAATAAATAAGAGTTGTTGATGTTGTGATTTCTTGGGTTCAAGTTTCTTTTCATAAACACACCAAGTTTTGGGACATCACTGATTTCCAAAGCAGTAGAGTTTTCATATAAACAAACGAAAGATATGTTTAGTTCGTAAAGACAAGGAAGGTTTTTAATCTTGATGGTCTAGAACCCCTCACAGGAATGTAAAAGTTCTATCCTCTCAAGCAAGCAACAAGACGACAATATGTGATGAAGTGCCTCTTCACTTATGCTCACACCTTCCAAGTGCAGTTCTCGTAGGGATAACACACACTTGAACATCACAGGATTCGTCATTGTCATCCAAACAAAATTGGGATGGATCCTCGGTGCCGAAACTCTTAACTTGGTTAGATTCTCACTTGCCAATATCTCATCTGGCAACCTAAACGAGGCACCCCAAAGTAAGAGCGAGAGGGAAATCTCTTTGAGACAAGTTTTGGTGGCCACATCCCCGATCCATTTTTCAGCTTGAGAAGCTGACTCTTGATCCTCAATGTTGATCTTAAGGTCAAACCTTTTGATTGGTGTGTTTTCGCGGTGATACCTTATTAGAGTGCGCTCCACGTCCACCAACTTCATGGTCTTTCCTCTTCCAACATCGAACCTGAGGTTGGGGAAGGTAGACCAGGCGTGTAGCCAATACTTGGACAACACGCTTGTTTGGGCAGCTTCTTTTACTGTCAACCGGGATTGTATATTCTGCATCAACTCCACAACATCTTCTACTCCTCGTCTCATCCCTTAAAAAACATCGACAAATCTACACACTTTAACACCAAACCAACAATACTATAGAGCCGTACCTAAAAAATTGCTAATCAAACCAAAAACAGCAGATTTAATTTCATATTGCGGGAAGCTAGAGGATCCATGCAAAGGAGGGGTGACGAACAGGTTTAGGGGTTTGGTATATATGTGCAACGATAAACCTCAACCCGAAACAAAAGTCTACAAAACATGTACAACTTGAAATCAAATATGGTAAATCCAAACCAGTAAAACAGATTAGTTCAGGCGATACGAATGATGTTGACTGAATCATGAAGTCATTCGTCAATTCCACCTACAAATAGCTTTTAACTCTCTTCAAAACCACAAGAAGTTTGAAAATTTATCTTGGTAGCGCACACCAAAATCGATAGATAACCAGAATTCCAAACTTATTAAAAAAAACAATCTTGAAATTTCGAGTTTTGTTGCTGTAGTTTATGACTCAATTATTCATCTGGGGGATTTACACGCACCAAGGAGCAGACAAGATGCGAAAGAAATCGGAGGATCTACCTGATAACAAAAATGGAGAGACAATCGTCAGCACCAGCGGTTTCGTCGATGATGACTACTATTCATGATCTAGGGTTCATATTCTATTGAAAAAAACTTCATTTACAAAGATCTGAAAATTCAAAACTTTTAAGAAACATGTAAAAAGACTTGTATATCTTTCTATTTCTAAAAACATAAAAAAGACTTATATATGGTTTCTATTTTTTTAGAATTAATTTTACATCTCTCTCTCTCTCTCTCTCTCTCTCTCACTCTCTCTTGGTAGAATATTATTGTGAGGCGTCGAAATTGTCCAAGTCATTTCGTGTGTTGAAAGTCAGTATTTTAGATTATTATAATGACATTTATGTTTCGAAAATGTAATGTCTAGTCCCTTATATACATATATATATATATATATATATATATATATATATATATATATATATATATATATATATATATAAGGAGTGGTTCAAATGAGAACCAAAAAAGGTTAAGAACCGTAAGAACCTCTAACTTTAGATGTTTATAAAGGGTTTAGGGTAACCCTAAATCTTAAATCCTAAACCTTAAACCCTAAACCCTAACCCCTAAACCCTAAACCCTAAACCTTAAACCCTTTATAAACACCCTAAACCCTAAACCCTAAACCCTAAACCCTAAACCCTTTATTAACATCTAAAATTAGAGGTTTTTACGGTTCTTAACCTTTTTTGGTTATCATTTGAACCTTTACCTATATATATATATATATATATATATATATATATATATATATATATATATATATAGGGAAAAGTGAATATGTGGCTGTTATGTACGTAAGTTTAGGTATAGAACCTTTTACTCGACGTAGTTTTAAACAAAACAAATCTAATTTCATTTTCTCTTAGTTTTGTTTTGATACAATACCATTGAATTAAGTCCAATGATGGAATAAAAAAGATCAATTGTATATATTTTTTTTGCAAATAATGATTGAAATTTATAATGAAAATAAAACCAATATTTTTTAACGAATACAACTCAAGTGTTTTGTCTTTCAATTGAAAAACTATATCCAATGATTTTGTGAAAAAGTTGATTGAGTTATGACATGTTCTTTTATCTTTTACTCTATTAGTTTCATATAGAATTTAGTAGGGTTGATTAAATGGTCACGACTTTTAATTCCTTAAGTTGTTAGACAACATGAAGAAAGGAACATAAATTTAATCGACTTAGTAAGTCAAATAATTAAGAAAGAATGGTAAAAGAGATACAATGATTAGTTTGGATATAAATTGATCAACACTACATTTTTTGAAGGGTTCTATATGTAAGCTTAGGTACATGACATCCACATATTCCCTAAGCCCACACACACACACACACACACATATATATATATATATATATATATATATATATATATATATATATATATTGAATTCAAAAACATACAACACATACGTAAACATTAAACATAGTACAAAAGGGGTTGAGAATCTAGTGAGACTTGTCGGTTGGCACCTCTGAGTGTACAATCATAACCTGTAGTTATAATCAGAATTTCCTGGATGGAAAGCAGGAGTTTGTGTATAGATCTATACGGGGTGACCCCCTATGCCTTAGCTGCTCGCTACAGCAAAACTAGGCCAGTCTAGGGTGACAACATCCTTAGCAAGTCCGACATTTGGAAAAATACCAAGATGAACGACCTAGTCATTATCATGCATTGTTATAACGGCCCATGTAGGGATTCAACACCACTTAAATGCATAGAAGATTAATTCTTTAATTGTGTCATCACGAAAACACTTAATCAACGAGACAAAAACCTAAACATTAAGACAGAAAATATCGGATTTCCTGGGAAAAATATTCATATACATTTAACACTTATTCACGATACAATGAATTTAAACTACACTCATATACATTATAACTATGAATTTCACACATGCAATCACCCATGATTTTCACATCATTTTCAAACAATTTACAAAAAATATCGGATTTCCTGGGTTTTTACGAAAGCTACAAGGACTTTTATTCAACCATACTTATGAACTCACCAACATTATATATGTTGACTGTTTTCAAAATAACTTGTATTCTAAGGTAATCGTTAAGCTGGAAGAAGTGCAAGTGTGTTTGGTTTTGTTTATGTAATATCCCTTGTCGTATTTTAACAATTTGAACTTATGTAATTTAACAATGTACTTGATGTAAACAATGTTGGTTGTATTATGTAATGTTGATGATGAATGTGTTATGTTTCATTTATATTAATTGTGATGATTATTCAATTGTTAGTCACACGAGCCCCTAGAGTTTTCCGCCGTCTGGTTCGGGGGTGTGACAAGACTCAACTCACTCTTCCTTTAAGCTTCCTCTCTTTTCTTCGATCCTACGAAAAATCAAAATGCAATCTTATCACATCATTTATTGAGAATCTACAAAAAAAAACTCAATAGAGTTAGATAGTGGATTTTACCTGAACCAGAGTCATACATATTGACTCTCCCATCCTTGCGATCTCTTGGGTAAATATGGCAGCTTTGTAACCAATGCCCTTTCTCTTGGCAATAGAAATAGGTAGACTTTTTTGGATCATCACACGGGACAATCTCAGACTTAGCCTTTCTCCTTACGATCTGGTAAAACGGGTTGACCTTGGCCAATCCCTTTCCATTGGGAAGACAAGACTTTTCTGGACTTCCAATGTTGTCGTTGTCAATTTCCATGGAAGCCTGGGAGATTGATATTCTAGACAAATTTGCTTGAACAGTGCGCCAAATCATCGTTGATTCAGTAGCAATAAGCAAATAAGTCAGATCAATGAGCGTCACGTCATGGTCCATCATATAGTAACCTTTTATGAAATCATTATATGATTCAGGAAGTGATTGAAGAGACCAGTTAACAACCAAATTTCTTGAGACATCGATACCTAGCATCCCCAACCTGTTAATGTGTGACTTCATCTCTAAGATGTTTGCACACAGTAACTTTCCATGTATGTGTTTTCTTGCCAAAGGGCTAGAGTGACCTTGAATTTTTCAAATCTATGAACACGTGAGTCAGGAAGAATTATTGGAGGAGTTTGAGGAAGTGAAGAACGATTTCCGTTTCCATGATCCAATCATGGAACATCATCTTCACGTGGAAAGCTTTTTCTAAATGATTCGGAAAGACCATAGTTATTTGAAGTATACAAAACGGGAGAAAATTCAAGTTAGTTGATAATAATCCTTGATATAACACCCAAATGAAATATCAAAACTACGATCAAACATAATATTCTACAATTCGGAAGAGGGATGCAATAATCCAGTTGCAGAATATTTGAAGGTAGGTAAATGACAATTTACCAATTTTCACCATTAAAAATGAAAAGGAAAATTAGGTTTTAAATGAATTGAAATTCCTAGATCTTTTTTAGATTAATTTAACTTTTCAATGGCATGTTTAATCTAAATTATGCCCTTAGAGTTTGTGACTGGGATACCGATGATCACAAACAAGGTGTTAATAACCATTTAAATTAGTTTGGTACTCTCAAAGATGTTTATCACCTAATCAATGTGCCGGTTAACTACACACGCTCCATTGATCTATGATAATCTACGAGCTACCCATTTCCATCCTTCATCGGTCCCATATTAGTGTGTCGGTTAAACACACACGCTCCACTAACAATGAACACGGTGCAATGTCCAATTTCATGGATTAACATCAAATTCACACTGTGTTCACATCGTGAGTCTGGTCCATATTCGAAATTTGCAATTTTTCAGCTTTGAAAACATAACGTTTGCATCATATAACAGAAAAATTACCCCAGGCTCCGATACCACTGATGAGTTTTAATAATAACATCATTACTATGGTGTACATGCAACCCTAATGCTTTGGATCCAGGTTTTCCTCAAGTTATACATGCAAACAATCTTCCAAAGCATAAACCCTAATCTAACATGTCTAAGAACGAAATTCATATGTAAATAAGGGTTTAGAATCTTACCTTACTTGGTTTGTAGCAATAACAAGAGCAATCCACAAAGTCCTTGACTCTTGAAAGCTTAGTGCCCTAAGTGTTGCACCTCTAATGGAGCCACAAAGACCCAATGCAAGAAGATGACTTGGGAGAGAAGAAGGATTTCGTCTAGGGCTTCCCAGAAACTCAAAGGGACGAAATCCTTATGTATTGGGGGTATTTATAGTTGAGGCTATTAAGGTTTTAAGGTGGAAACCCTAATTTCCTTGCTTAGGCCTTAAGCAATCCATGGAACCCTTCTAGAAGGCCCTTGTACGAAATCCTTATGGGCTTCCCATAGATTTTGTCCAACCCCATCTATTATGAGTCCATAGCCCAACTTTGGAACTATCAGATAATTACAGTATCAATCCCCTTTATTTAATCGGTCTCTTTTGATCAGCAAATTAATTCCAAATTAATTTATGATAAATACTAATTAAATAAT